CACACCAAACATGAGTTCCTTTCCTTGTCAGGGTAGGAAATACTTTTAGGAAGATGCACCTCACAGGTACGTTCCAGAAGACAGGTTCTTTAGTGTTCACTCACAGTTTTGTCAAATGTATGATTTCTTCTCAATAAGAAGTAACTTTGAGCACTGGGTAGATGCAATGAAAGACATTTTCTCACAGTACAGCCCTAGAAGAAGGAATCCAATGGGCCACTTCTCCAAGCTGCTGAGTGTTGGAGGGAGGGATTGCTTCTCTGTTTTTGCTGACAGGGGAGGGTCTTGCCCAGTGAAATATAACCCTGTTTGTTTTATTGCCTGGAAATCAGAGAACATAGAACAAAGGGAAAATGAATTGAGTCCAAGGTTCATCTAGAAGTGGTTTCCAGAAACAGAAATGGACACAGGATGTCTGAAAACAGATTTCCAATGTAGCTCTCCATTTCCATTTCCTTATAAGCTCGTTGGAATTATCTTGTTTTAATCTAGCAAAATTCACCTTGTGTTTCAGTGGAGATTTCCTGGGGAGGTCATTCAATGTATAAACAGTGCCAGCAGCACAAAGTGCTATGTCCTTTGTGTCCTTGTGCCTTTGTTCCTTCAATGCCACTGAAGGACTCCATGACACCATCTTGCAACCAGATCCTCCACCCCACCACTCACAACCTACACCCTCTTGGCTCCTTGGAACGGTTGATTCTTGACATTGAGATATCATGTGACAACTGCAGCCCAGCAATTCCAGCCTGCAGCTCTAAGCCTTGTTGGCACACAAGCTAGAGTGTCACTGATCACAGGAATCCACTCTAGCAGGTGTATCAGACACCGTGTGTGTTTCTGGGACATGAAGAGTTGCGGGATGAACAGTTCTGATCACCTTGGCCTTTATCGTTGGATTGAATTTTTTATAGCAATAATTCCTTTAAGTGATTCTAGAAAATGTCAACTTGCTGTGAGGAAGGACATACAGAGACATCCTTACACGTATTTCCAATGTCAGTGGAGGTAGAATCTTCTAGAGCAATGGTTCTTAAATTTTAGGAAATGTAAAACTACCTCAAATTAGTTGCATATTTCTGAGATGTACATCAAGATAGTCTAATTCTCCCCAGAACTTCAAGTATAATAATAGCTAACAATAATAAAAACATAGTCTAATTCCAGAGCTCTAAGCTAGGACTCAAAACCTGCGGTTTTTGACAAACATCTCTAGTAATTCTAAAGCAGGTGATGCCTGGCATATTGGTTTAATCAATGCTCAAGAAAGCCTACAGGCTCCTGGATGCACCCTCATCGGCAGTGTACATTTTTCCCCTCTGGGGAACAGCTTTCATACCTTGGCTGTATTCTGTGTTCTAGGTAAAGCAGTTTAATTCATCACACCTCACCCTGCATTCCAGTTCTTTCTCACCTGCTATGGGTTCTGGGAAGCCTGTGGCATCTCATGCTTCCTAGGATTTAGTTACCTTAAAAAATAATAATAATGAGAGTTAATTCTGATTTTAAAAAATTCTTCATGATTTCCTAGATATCTCAGGGACATTGCACTCTCTAGGTCCTCTCGTGAGCCGGGTTTAAAAGGCCTGGCTCCAGACGGAAAAATCTGATCCAGATGTGGCTGGCTCAAAAAGTCAGAAACATTTTATAGTGAGGGCGCTTCTTTCTTCTACATAACTCTTCTTCCTCTTTCACACAACTAAGGATATGTTCCGTCCTCCCAGGAACTGGGGAATACGAAAGAAAGAGGACTGAAAATAAAAGGGGCTGAATAGGAAACTTTTTTTGAAGTATGAGTTCATAACAGATAGAGCTGGTGAGTCACAGGGAGGAGCTAAGAAGTTTCTTCATTTGGCATAAAAATGTGACCACCTTCCCAAGCAGAAATAGTTAGCACCATCTGCATCAACCATTCCCAAATTCTGCTCCAAGAAAATTAAATGAGTTACGGGATTTAGATTGCAGGGCAGTGGACTGAGTCCTCGAATCCCAATCCTCCTTTTCCATGTACTTGGTGCCCCCTAGTGGCCAAGAGGACCTTCCCTAGTCTTGGAGGTCCCTGAAATCAGCAATGTCCTTTGAATTCGTGTTTTCGAGTTGCGTCCCCAGTTGCCTGTGAGATGACCAGGGACTGAGGACCGAGGTTGGGAATGGAAGCAACTTCACTGACTTGGGGGCATACTGTGTGCCAAGCATTTCCCATGGATTGTCTCATTAAATCCTTCAAAATCTGAGACAGGGTTCTACTGTTCAGCAGTTGAAGTGCAGTTAAGTTCCTTGTCTAAGCCACCAGAGGGGACGGACTGCAGAAAGATCCTGGGGTCAATAACTCTCAGCACGTGGCAAGGAGGAAAGGGAGAGAAGCTGCACCTCGCATTTCTCTGGGGGTGCCACTTTGCCAAATCAGCCCCGCCTGCAGAGTGTTTCCCCTTTGCTGAAGGCTCCTGGCACTTCTCCATCCCCTTCTTGGGATGAGCTGCAGGTGGCACCAGGAAACCTATGGCGTGGTGAGCCCTCAGGACTGAGTTTTTCCAGGGATAAATGCTCTGGCAGCATTTGTTTTTTGTGCCTGCTGATTTGATTAAAAAAGAGTTGCTTTTCTCTCTTTCTACAAAACCAAAAACACTACAGCCATAGCAGGATTTCTCTGTTTTATTCTCCCCGCTTTGCTAGTCACACACAGTGAGCTATTGCTCAGACCCTTACAGAAGCCCCCTTTATGTTCTATGTCTGTATGGAAATTGCTTTTCACAGTAAAACTAGATTTGCACCAAGTCTATCCTGTAGGTAGTGGAGGTCACTTGCTTGATTTGAATTGTTGATGGACCATTAGAGCACACTGGGAATTTTAGACAAGATTCTTCACCCAATCCATCCTGATGGAGGGGTGAGGACCACCATGTCTTATTCAATATCGTAGAAACCACAGGGGCTTAAATGGCAAGAATTAAGTCCAAATTACAAATGGTTTGTGTAAAACCGTAGGGTTTTGCCTAGAGTCATATCAAACATACTTCCATAAGAAAATTTAATTTCAGAAGGAAAATGCTGAAAATGAGACGACTTCACTCTATTTGCATGAGGCAGGCATGCTTGAGGGTGAGGACATCTTGGTCCTTACTGCATTAAGCTCGGCCTGGATGGTGCTAAGGAAAAATGGCTGAGACCAGGATGATGGAGGCCACTACAAAGCTGATCTGCAGGCATCTCATGCCCAAGTGTCCCCCTGAGCAACCACAGAATACAAGGCCCTGCCTCAGGCAGCTACAGATAAATCACACACATTCGCCGAGCTCCTGCTGCTTTCAGCAGCACTAGGTGTGGCCGTAGTGAGAGCCATCTTCAGAACCTCTCACCTGTGCTGTGAGAGGCCAGCACAGGGCAACTGGCTTGAAAAGCCATACCTTGGCTTCAAAGGAGGCCAACCATCTAATTTTAAGGAGGTAATGAGAGGTGTTTTCAACTCTGTGTTTTAGAGCAGGCAAATCTGCACATGAAAGATTTAACTTTCATTCAGTTATATTTGTTGAAAGCCCAGTGGCTGTCGGGACATTTAGAGGCCCAAGCTCATCCTGTAAATAAACAGCATGCACAGAATGAGGTCAGAAGGAGAAGGGGTTAGAGATTGAAAGCAGCCATGAAAGCTACTTCCTACTAAGAATCCCAAACTGCAGATGACCTGGCTGATGGACCAAACATCAGACCAAAATCCTTACAAGTATATATCACTAAGCCTCAAATAGCACCGGTTTTAAAGAGAAGACAAATCATCAGGAAGAAAGCAATGGAACCCACAACCACGAATGGATTCATTAGAAAGAACCCAAACTCAAAACCCTTGTGTTTTCTAAATCACTGGACAGGGAATAAAATTGCATCATCAGAGCATTCCTAGAACTGAGCTGGGCGGCAGTGAGACCTCACTTGGAGAAAGTACCCAGGGTATAGAAGATCAGCATATTCTGCCTAACAGATCCTCAAGCTTAGTAGGACATCATTAGAGCACAGTAGCTCAGTGTGCACAAGAAGTGCATTCATTACAGAGGAGTACCCTTTCCTTTTAAGTTAACAGAATTACCCACCCAAAGGTCTGTGCACTGGGGATTTAAGAACTCCAGCTTCCTGTTAAGTTTTTTGACAAGATTTGTGTAAGTTTCAGTGTGGACGTGCGTGCATGTGCGTACCTTTTCTTTATAGGACTATCCTAACTCCTCTTGAGCTCCTTTCATCTTCTCCCCCGAGCTTGCATCTATATTTCTCTGGATTGCTCAGACACCAACCACTCCTAAAAACTTCAGAGTTTCTAGAAAATTTTACCCTCCAAGAAGCTTAAATAATTTTTATTGTTTTGCAATAAAAAATGCCACAGGGTGGAAGAGTCCTATTCCCCTACTTTACAAAAAACAAGAAAAGGTGAAGCATCAATTACCTTCTCATTAAGTCGTTCACCAGGCTGTACAGCCATCCTTCCTCTGAAGGCACTGCTTGATCACCACCTCCCTGGGCTGGGAATCCGGCAATCCCACGGGGAGGCATGCTTCAACGTACCATGAAATGGGCTGATGCAGGAGCACAAGCCTTGGAGTTTCCTAGAGTGGTAGGAGTTGAAATCAAAGGATTCTATACCATTGGTGAGGAGTCACAAGAGAACATGGTCATGCTAATGATACTATGATGTCTTGATGGGATACTTCAGCCATTCCTTTAAACTTACCTCCAGCCTCAACTTCAACTTTCTTAATCCTAGAAGCATTTCCAAACCACTAACTTCTCACCAATATCCCAGTTTTCTTAAAATCATATAGAGCAGAACACTTTCTGGAAACCCAGAAGAGATAGATTGTTACTCTACAGCTGCAAAGATTATTGTAATTTCTTACAGCCTGTTTTGGTAGACAGTATGGCCAATACTGCCTTGGTTTAAATAAGATGATGCAAATCAGATGCAGCATTATTCCACTTTTGAAAATGCCTAGCACACATGAAAGATATTTGTGCAGTGAGGTACTATAAGAATTTTTATTAATGACAGCTTTGCAATTAAGTGTACGCTCACTAAATATGGAAACAAATGAGAACTAACAGTAAAAAGAAGTTCCAGGAAAATTACCACAGCATGAACTGAATGGACTCATACTGGGCCAGGGCTTTAGGTCTTGGCATGAACAGCTTCATCATTCCAGAACTTTCTTGATTTCCAAGGTTTGTCTGAAAAACAAAACAAGATGACTTTGTAGAAAATGATGTATGGATCCACTGACATGGGCAAATATTTCACTGTATCAGCCCATTCCAGAACCTCGTGATTTCACAGTAGGTGGATCCTGACTGCCCACTGAGTGAAAGCCAAAACCCTCACTCAGGTCTCCCAGCTCTAACCCTCTGCTCCAGCTACCCCTACGTTTTTTGATGTTTTCAACAGGCTTTACTGATTCCTTGTTCTGCATTGTTATTAAACCTTCCTTCCACCTCCCTTAGAATACTCACCCTCACTTCTCCACAAATCTATGTTCTCAACTTTCTTAAAGATCTAATGAAAAATAGGTTTCAAAAAGCACTCCTCTACCTCTCCTCTCACAATTTTACAATTCATTCCTTGCTTCCTGCCACTAGCACTTACAGAAATAACATATAATAACTATTATTCTTGCTTATATTTTGTTGGAGGTTGCTCCTCAATTTCTGCATATGTGCATATATTTTGACTGTCCAGTAATTTTAATAAATAAATAAAATAATGCAGTGTCTTTGCATTCAAAGTCAGTGCTTTATTTATTATTCATTTAGGATTATGACCTCCAGCTCTATCCTTGTTGCTGCAAAGGACATGATCTCATTTTTTAATAACCGTGTAGTATTCCATGGTGCATATGCACCCCATTTTCTTTATTCAGTTCACCATTGAGAGTGGGAGGATGGTAAGGATTGAAAAGCTACCTGTCAAGTATTATGCTGATTACCTGGGTGACAAAATTATCTGTACACAAATCTCCCATGACACACAATTTATCCATGTAACAAACCTGTATATGTGCCCTTTCAACCTAAAATAAGTTGAAAAGAAAATAAATAAATTAATACATAAAAACAAATTAATGCAGCGGTACTCAAAACCACGTTTTTTTCCCCGGTGCTCTGTCCTGGGAAGCAGGGCTTTATTTATAAGTTCCTGATGTGCTGCTGCCTTTTTTCAGAGATGCCCTGCCCAGCAAGAAGGTAGCCTAGTCACAGTCTGCCAGCAAAGGCGTTGCTGAGCTGCCATGGGCTCTGCCCAGCTGCTGTGTGGACTTCCTTGCAGTTTTGTTTATAGAGGTATAGTTAGAACTGCCTCAGTAATGGTGGATTGCCTAGGTAATGGCAGACTGTCTCTGTAATGGTCAACTGCCTCAGTAATGGCGGACTGCCCCAGTAATGGTGGACTCCCTCAGCAATGGTGGATTGCCTCGGTAATGGCAGACTGCTTTGGTAGTGGTGGACTGCCTTAGTAATGGCAGATGCCTTTCCCCCCACAGAGCTGGACTGTCCCGGGTCCAGCTGTGCTTGCTGTGAAACTCTCAATCCAGAGCGTTTCAGATTGCTGGTCTTTGTTGGGGTGGGACCTGCTGAGCCAGATCACCTGGCTCCCTGTTTCAGCCCCCTTTTTTTCAGTTGAATGGGTGACTCTGTCTCCCAGGCATTACAGGCACCAGTTGAAATGGCGCCCAGATTTGTGTGAGTTTTTGTGTGGAGACCTGCTGCGCTGGCTGAAACAGCCATGCTGGATACTTATTGCGCTTTTCCGCCCTGGAATCTTCTGGTCTGTGGACAGTAAAAATTCATTTGGAAATGCGGTGATCACTCACCCTCTGCATTCTCGCTGGGAACTACACTCCAGAGCTGTTCCTATTTGGCCATCTTGGATCCTCTTGAGAAGTATATTTTCATAGTACATATCTGGAAAGAAGTATTATTCAAGATATCTAAAGAATATTTGCAAGTCAACAAAAAGAAAGAAACAACCTAATTAAAGAATGGAAAAAAGGCCTGAACAGACACCCTGTCAAAGAAGATATAAAGACGGCAAACGAGCATATGAAAAACTCTCAACATCGTATGTCATTAGAAAATTGCAAGCCAAAGCAATGATGAGATGACTCTACACTTTTATTAGAACAGACAAGGTATAAAACCCTGACCAAACCACATGCTGGGGAGGATGTGGGGCAGCAGGAACTCTCATTCATTCCTGGTGATTGTGAAAAATGTTGCTAACACTTCAGAAGACCATTTTGCAGTTATTTACAGAACTAAACAGAATCCTACCATACAGCTCATCAAGTATGCTTCCTGGTATTTTCACAAGTGAGTTGAAAACGTATATCCAATCAAAACCTTCTCAGGGATAGGCATAGCAGGTTTTTACATGATTTCCAACACTTGGAAAGATGCTAACCTAAAAAGGCTCCATGCTGTATTGTTACAATGGTCTGGCATTCTGTAAAAGGGCACAACTACGGAGGCAGTGAAAAGAGGTTGGTGGGAGGTAGGGGTTAATGGCAGAATGACAGGATTTTCAGTGCAATGAAACCGTTCTATGTGACACTCTGTCATACAGGTGTCTCTGTGGATACCTGTCATTATCCATAGTCAAATCACATAAAACACATGGCACTGAGAGTGACCCTAACTTAGACTATGGGCTTTGGGTGATTACAAAGTGTCAATGCAGACTTGTATAAATGCACCACTCTGGTGTGGACCATTGTCTAGGGTGGTGCTATCATGTATGGAGTTGGGGGATATATGGAAACTTTCTGTACTTTCTTCTCAATTTTGCTGTGAACATAAACTGCTCTAAAAATAAAATATATTGAAAATGAAAAAAGAAGGAGACTAGAGCAAATTCAAGATACTAAAAGAGCTTGGAGGGAGGTATAGCTGCCTAAGGGTGAACGTCTAAGAATACTGTCTGGCTCCCTGCTAGTAGTAAGGAGTCCATCCTTAGAAGTAGGGGCTGGGGAGAGACCTTTTGCTCTAGTGGCTGCGCTCTAAAGGCAGAGGCCCTCAAGTGATGGCAACCTATTAGCTGAGCTTAGCTCCAAGTGAGTATCATTGGCCACTCTTAAAAGAATACAATGTCTTGGGAAAGAGCTTGGGTCAGCAGCTGACTGGCAGAATCTCAGGTGGATAGGACCAGCACTCAGCTCAAGCCATGTGGCAGAGAGCACCAACCGAAGCCCAGCTCTCACTGGGGCCAACGTTTGATTAAACCTGGGTCCATTAGTACCACATCAGCCCTCAGGTTTGTGGACAATTTGAGGAGGAGGGAACATCAAATGGGAGATACTGGACCTCCAAATTCGAGTGCCCTTGAAAGATAAACCCATTTTCAGCAGGAGAGAAGAAATGAAAGAGATGGGATGTGCTTGTCACTAAGGTTTTGGAAGACCTTTTCAGGTTGTATAAGGACTAAATGAGATCCTGGGTCTGGAGGCTCCATCACATGGCCTAACACTTCCAAAGGGTGAAAAACTGCTAATCTCCATGACCTCTTTACCCCACTTTCCCCAGGTATTCTCCTGCCCCTTGAGAGACAGAGAGCCTCAGGGGCTGATGGAGACTCATTCATTGAGAACCTCTGGCTGTACAAAAGCCAGCCCCAACTTTTGTTCACCGTGCTTGTCCCTCTCCTGTCTTCCATTTGTACTTCTCAATTCTAGACCTTTGTTTCCCTTCTTAGAACTCCAGACTCTTCCCCTCCGAGCCCAGACATCTTGGTGCCTTATGTCTTCAACCACCAAGTCTCCCAGAATCCAAACAGAAATAAAGAAGGAGTTGGAAGTCTGCTCCAGAACTCAGCCAAAAGCAAGTGGGCTGGGTCCAGGTACTAGTGGAAAGAGACCGCTGATGTGGATCCCAAAGAAACCAAGCTTGTCCCATGTGCTGCAGGTGAGAGGCAATACCCAGTTTTCCAGGCAGCGTCTTCTATGTTCTCATTCATTTGCTGGGCCAGGGAGAAGGGACTGATCTCAGGAGGTGTCACCAGCATGAATTCTGCTTATTGACATTAGAAGACTAACAAAGAGAGGAGAGAAAATCAAAAGCAGTAGGCATTTGAAGCTTTTAAAAAATTACTTATCTCTGCCTAATTACCAAGAAGTGTCATCTTGATTACTAACAATCATTAAGTGTCACATTTGTTTTCTACTTCAAGTGCCATTTACCCACAAGTCTACATCTTTGAGACATATGGCTATAGCTCTGATGAATGAGGCTCTCTCCACAAGACACTGTGGCATTATCTTTTTATGATCATTCTTCAAGGACTCTTTGTCTTCTTTTAATAAAGGGGAGGACACTGGTCCTAAGAGGTGACTCTTTAGACCAGGCAGCAGTCCATATGCCTCTTGTCAGCCCAGGTCTTCCAGGTCACTGCATTAAGCACATCTTCTTATTCTGAAGCTTTGAAATCTGGGGCCTTGCTGATCCTGGAGAGACTGTCCCTCCCAGGGATAGCCAGTTCCTAAAGATAGCAGATTACTTGCCTCAAAGGGTGTCTTCCAGAGGCAAACCAACTAGCTCAGAGCTCACGCCCCAGAGAGCTTCTTTATCAGGATCCCAGAAGCTTCCACCACCATCTACCTGCCCAAATCACACCGTGGCCAGATACCGGGCAATGAGAGACAGCCCCTGCAGCACAGAACCCTTTGGAATTATTCAAACCAGACAATCCTAAGTCTGCTTATCCTGCCTCACCTGTTTCTACTCACAGAAACCATAATAAAGGCTTGTGCCCATGTTTTCCTCCCAGTCCCTCTGCCTCCTGACCAACGCTGGCACTTCCCCAAAGGGTTCTGCATGGTGTGGCTGCCTCCTCTTCTCAGGAACGGTGAATAAACCATCCTTTCAACGGCAGTCATCTCCTGATTAGCTGAAATCACTACGCCCAAATAATAATAAAGCCTGCAATTTAAAACAATCATGCCCCTATAAATTCTGCTGATCTTCATGCTCATATGAAAGTTTGAAATGACGCAAACTTCCATGCATTTTCCAGCACAAGTGTGGAGAGAAATGAAATTGAGAGGGTAAAACACTCACTTTAGAGTCAGATTCTAGGGAATTAAATTTGACTTCTTCTGCTACCTGCCATCTGGAGATCTGGGTGAGTTACTGAATTCTTCTTGCTTCATTTTTCTCATCTGAAAAATGTAGGATCAACTTCACAA